CATAAAGTAGTTGGCTATCACCGGACTAAGAGACTGCCCCTTGCTACTCCATCCGTCTGTTCATAGAATTCGTTTTTCCACTGAAAGTGAGTTGTGGTTAAGCAGTGTTCGAACAGTTTGGCGATGCCTGGTGGAAATTATCTCTCAATAAGTTCCATTGCCTCCTTGATTGGTACCGTTGTGGACAACAAAACAACATCAAAACTCACAAGGATTTCTCCGGGAGCTAATGACAACCTCTGAACAAAATGGGATGAGTCCTTTATAAAACTGTCAGTTTTTCCTATTTTGGGCTGTAAAATTCTTGTCAGATATTTTGCAATGTCATCGGTCGGACTTCCAATAGCGCTCACAATGGGTCTCAGTGGAACATCCGATTTATGGATCTTGGGTAGTCAGTAGAGCCTTGGTGGGAGTGCTTCTGATTTTCTGAGTTTGGCCAACTCCTTGGCTTCTTGACTGCTTGAGTTCCATTCTGCTGGTACTCACGTTAGGTATTTTGATTCCAATCTATGCTTCCTCAGTGCCCGGTATGTTCACGAGGTTCAGCTACCGTATAGCTCTGCATTGAACTTTAAACCAACGTTGTCTATGATATCAAGAGTTTTAAGCAGCCTCATGTCTAACCGCGACACTACTGATTCGGGTGTTCGTCCCTTGAGCTTAAGGTGTAGTGTAGCTACAAGGGGATTGTGGTCGGAGTTAACGTCCGCGCCTGAGTATGTTTTCACTGCGCGTATGCTGTTTTTGAACCGATCGTTGATAATCATGTAGTCGATTTGATTTGTCACTACCCTCTCGACGCCATAAGCATTTGATTTCCATGTATACAATCTTCTTACTGCCTGCAAGAGCCAATCAAGCTGTCGGTACGTTCATTTCGCGCACCTAGTCCATACCTTCCGACCGTCTGTCCGCACTCACCCCTTCCGACTTAGCGTTAAATTTTCTTACTCCATCCTCTGACTAGGGGTAAATGCAATCAACGCAATTACCTAGTAGAAAACATTCCTCCTCTACACTTAAGTTGACGTGTCCGAGCATTCTTTTATAAACTCAAGAAAAAAGGTGCACCATGTATTGTATTTATTGATAGTAAATAGTTGTAGTTTAATTGTTATTTTTTAAAATTGTGATATGACGTGATGCATCTATCTGCCTTACGACGTTTATACATAGCAAATACTTACATGTTGGAGAATTACATCAAAAACTGCATCGTTATCAGCTTGAATAGCTACTTGTAGAGCGGTAAAACCAAGCTTATTTTGGCCGTTCACATTAGCATTTTTGTTCATTAATTTTTCGGCTATTTTTACAGAGTCTTCTAAGTTTGGCGAACAGGCAACTAGGTGGAGAGCTGAATCGTTTTCAATCCTGAAATTACAAATGAAAATGTACCTTAAATTATGCAAAAACAATTAAAAAAAATTTTTTATTGAATTGAACTAGATGATCATTTTAAATGAAATAGAAATCATTAGTACTCGGTACTCGGTAGAGTAGTGATATTTGCCCTTCCTCCACACTAACCGTATATA